GCGGGCTTCAGGCTGCAGGTGGAGCGGCAGAGGAGGCAGCTGGAGGCGCTGCTGCAGCCGCGGGTCAAACTGGAGCGAAGAGGTCAGAACATCCGCACGTTCGTCAAACACGTGAAAGATCTAAAGCACGTTTACTCTCTGACTCGCCCACTTCCTGGTTACACTCACGTCAACATGGTGGCCTCTGTCGTTGCAACCACAAATCATGACGTCACGTTCTGGATGCACAACAACAATCTCAGGACAGATTTTCATGTCATTTGCTTTTCTAACATTTGGTTCATGAGGTTTTTTCCCCCTTGACTCTTTATTCAGCTGCTGTTTGTGGAAGTTCATTTTTTAAAAAAAAAGTAAAATTTGAACTTTAATGATGTGATTTACGTTTTCTGACATTTCTGTCAAGAAGAGCAGAAACTTAAGTCTTTATTCTGTCTCTGCTTTGCTTTTAAAATAATTGTTTAAGTTTACTTGTAAACTCTGAACCCAGATGTGGACGCCAGCGATGTGGTTGTTATAAATGAAGAGGAAGATGAGGAGGAGGAGGAAGAGCAGCACACACAGCAGCCAGGTATGTCCTCACTCTGTCCCACGGGACACAGAGGTCAGGTCCTCTGATGACATTTGTTAAAGCTCAGTCAGGCACAGATTCTTCTTGTGATGGTTCAGGTCTGAGGAGAGTTCATATTATTATTGTTATTGATATCATTATTGATATTATTACGGCCGTAGCTTCCTAATGAACCAGAACATTTTTTGTTCTGTCCAGATGTGGAAGACAGTGGGAGTCTCGGCCTCCTCTGGTACGACGGTGACGATGATGATGATGACGGGGGTGAAGATGAAGAGGAGCACATGAAACCAACGACAAGCTCCAGAAAGAAACGAGAAGATGTGCAAGACCCAGATTATCAAATACCATCAAGGTTACAAATCTTATTACGACCTGGAGATTATTTGGACAGTTGGACACTCAATGAAGGAAAATCTTAATGCTACAACACTTTGCTGGTGATGATGAGAAATAACTGTTTAGATTTTTACATCTTGGGTCAAATAAGTTCTGTGAAGCTGTGTGAGAATGCAGAATAATAGCGGTCGCTTGTTAGAAACTAATGTTTTAATCCTAAAATGTGTTCTACTTTATAAACATGAGTATAATACAGTGTCCACATACTTCTGGCCATGTAGTGTATATTTAATTATAGAAATATGATCAAACACAACTGATGTTATTTTGTCATCAACAGTTCGTGTTCACCCAGAGTTCAGTCTGGCAGGAGGAAGCCTGGCCGACCTCGAATCATCGATACACAGAACCACGTGGATCTCAAGATCCGCATCCTGGAGGACTCGAACACAGACGTGCTCACGACCAACGGTTGGTTTCAGGCACTTCACCTGACAGATAATTATTTAAAGGGGACTTCTGGGATTTATCACGATGGGCTGCTGTGTGGATCTCCTGGACTGAATTTACACACCCACATTTTAAACATAGGACCCAGTTCGAAAAATAATGGGAGAAAAAATTGAGAGAAAACTATAGAATAACCTCTGAAATATTTGATGGTTTGAGCTTCTTATTATTTTGTTCATTTTTAGTCCAAAGAACTAAAGATTGATCCAAACAAAAAAAAACTTCAAATGAAAAGGAACGATACCTAATAATATATAAATATCATGCAATGATTGATTCGTTAGTTTCCCTGACGTTTCTCCATATCTATATAATTAAGTGTTGATGTTTGTGTTCTGTATGAATCTAATCTCAGCTTTTATCATGGAACATTTTAAACTGTGATAAATATAAGTGGATAAATAATCAAAGTGGAATCTTCAGGTCTTGGTTCCAGTTTGATTCTTCGGCTCATGAAGACGTTTCCTCTGCTCCAGTGTTTCAGAAAAGTCCGCTGCAGCAGCTGCAGTGTCCTCGTGGTCTCCAGGAGACGGACTTTCTGCACCTGCTCAGGTCCACCTTCCCTCAGCTGGCGGCCGATCAACCGTTTGACGTCTTCACGACCGACAGGAGCAGGAGGCTGCAGCGTCTGAAAGTCAGGACGCTGACACCTGAGGAGATCCACCGGAGCATCAGGTCGACCGGAGCAGGAAACTCCGCCCTCTACATCCGTCCGAAGGTTTGATTTCATTCACAGTCCTTTCGTTGTTTTTATTTCATTTAGTTTTTTTTGGTACCGATCTGATCCCATCCATTAGTAAAATATAAACGTGAAAAGACCAGTTAACTTCTGTTCAGTTACATATGTTTTCTGCAGTGTTGTGACATGTTAATACCATCAGGGTATAATTCATATCACGTTGCCCCTTTTCATATGTGCTTATCTCCTGATTGGAAAGTATCACACCACTCGGGCCAATGTTTATTTATCTTTATTTAATTTTGTTCTTCGTTAACATTAATGAACATGTGTCCATATGTTTAATGTGCAAATGTGACAGATTTATTCACATAGGTTATTCCTCATCTGCAGTCACTGACAGGTTGATGGTGAAAATCATACAAATAACAAATAGACACGTATAAAAAGTATGAGCTCAGACACACACATGGAAAATGCAAAAACCAAAAAACACAAGTAAAAGCAATATAAATAAGCACAAAGCAAAAAGACAAGACAGAGAAATTCATATTTACGTAACAACTTTTTATAATATACAAAGACAAAAAGTACAAAATACAAACAATCGGACAAATCACTGAACACAATGACATGTTTGAGTGTGAAGTGAAGAAGAAAATATAGCTGCCGTGATTTTGTTGTTTTTCCTGAAAGTTGTTTGTGAACTCTTCTTTTACAGAGCGGAGACGATCGTCAGACCAGCAGTGGAGATCTTCATCCTCTACAGAGAAAAGACGCCGCCAGAGACTCTGCGTCCAGCTCTGTGATGCCGGCGGGCGATCAAACCAAAATGTACGAGAGGTAAAGAAAAATCAAAAAAGGTCGACAGGTTCTATCAGAGATTAGCTTGATCAGTTGTTGTTGAAGGCTTTTGGAAAATTTTAGAAGAAATGATTCTTATTAAACATTACATTTAAAATATACTTTCAAATAATGTCTAATAATGAAAATGTAAAAAATATAGATTTCTGTCAATTGTCTTCCAGCTCGTCATCTGCCAGAGATCAGTCTGAGAAGAGGAGGCGTGGTCGACCTCGGCTTGGTGAAGCACCCGCTCATCACTCTCTCAGAATCTGCTTGGTGGAAGATTCTCCCTCAGACGTGCTCTCAAAAAGTGGTAAATGTAAAAGATATTAACTGACTCCTCATGTAATACTTTTTATCTAAGTGTTTAGCTTGTCTAATGTGTTTCTCTCTCTTTCAGTGTTAATGAAATCCTCAGTCCAGCACCTGAAGTGTCCTCGAGGACTTCAGGAGCCGGCCTTTCTGGACCTATTGAAGTCCACCTTCCCTCAACTGACTGGAGACATCAAAATGTTTGACGTGTTCAAATCTGACAGGAGCAGGAAACTCCAGAGGCTCAAAGTGAGGACTCTGACACCAGAGGACATCTGCAGGACCCTGAAGTCCACTGGGATTGAAAGAACCCTCCTCTACATCAAACAGAAGGTAAATACTGTTGAAGTTTGTAATATTACAATACTGATAATAATGTTGAAGCATGTCGTATGAAATTTGATAAAAAAGTCATAGGTTAGCATCTCATCTCAAATATGATAAAAGAAGTCATAGGTTAGTATGTCGTCTGAAAGATGATTAAAAAAGTCATAGGTTAGTATGTCGTCTCAAAATATGATAGAAAAGTCATAGGTTAGACTGTCGTCCGAAATATGAAAAATATGTCATAGGTTAGCATGTCGTCTGAAATATGATAAAAAAGTCATAGGTTAGCATGTCGTCTAAAATATGATAAAAAAGTCATAGGTTAGCATGTCGTCTGAAATATGATAAAAAAGTCATAGGTTAGCATGTCGTCTGAAATATGATAAAAAAGTCATAGGTTAGCATGTCGTCTGAAATATGATAAAAAAGTCATAGGTTAGCATGTCGTTTAAAATATGATAAAAAAGTCATAGGTTAGTATGTCGTCTCAAAATATGATAAAAAAGTCATAGGTTAGTATGTCGTTTAAAATATGATAGAAAAGTCATAGGTTAGCATGTCGTTTAAAATATGATAGAAAAGTCATAGGTTAGCATGTCGTCCGAATTATGATTAAAAAAGTCATAGGTTAGACTGTCGTCCGAAATATGAAAAAAA